TAAGGTCATACCACTTCAGAAATATCTCTGTAAATTTTATTCTATTTTGACAATCATCAATTCTTTTTCTCTACACCAGATGTATCTTTTTGGATATTCCCTAAATCATGTAAAATCTTGACAAGAGTCTCCATGAGATATGGTTCTTCTTATGGTCACATATGCCCTCATTAACATGAGTCATGACCATGAAACCTGAGCAAGGTGACTCTAACTATTTCTTCCTGTTTTATAACCCAGGTTACACTTCTTGGGTATAATAATTTCATATCTGCCTATACGATACTCTTATCAAAGGATTTGCTACAGTTTCCTTGTTTGATTTTCTGAAGATTATATTCTGTTTGATTAATAACTGTAAAATGTACGGTATCAATAAGACCAATTTATTTATGAACATAAAAGTATAAAACAGATCACCAACACTTCGTGAGAATGCAGCAGTAAATTTATTTTGTTGACCGGTTTCGACCTGTGACGGTCGTCATCAGAACTTATTTATGAACAGTTATGGATGTAATACTTTCAGATGATTTCAAATTTGTAATTTATAAGGAGGAGGAAATGTTTCATGCAACTTTCTCTGGCTTTAATTTTTTTTTAAAATTATTAATTGTTGGACGTAATACACTAAAACAGCTGTGGATTTCAAACAAATCAGACAAATATTTTGGGGTACAAAATCAGGACATATAGTTGAAACAATAGGGTGTCACCAGTCAAGCCCTATGGTTATACGCTGTACTTATTAATTTGCAGAGTTTCCCCTTCCCCAAATGACATATTACTAATTTGAAGTTTCCAGTTCACATTTTGTGCTTCCCAGTTTTCCTGTGTTAGTATCATGTGGCGACTGCAGCACACAGTACTGAGCTGTTTCCCGAAGTTTCTAGTGTTTTGGTGGATGGAGTTTGTTTCCTTTTCAAGTTTATAATTACTCCTGTCATCTCTTGTCTATGCATGCTGCTTTTTACCTTCCTTTATTTTTAGATCCGGTCGTAAAATACACAAATACTGTGTATTTTACCTTCACTCTGGGGACAAATGATTACCCTTATATATAATAATCGTTAAAAACAGCTGATAACCTATCTCATCACTTCACAGGGTACCTCTTTTGTAGTAGTCTATTTAGTTGATTTTTTAGGTGTTGGGAAAAGTTATAAGAAAATACAATATAAATACATAAGTATCTCAGATTTTTTTTCCTGGGTCATATTATAGATACAAGCAATTGTATGAAGTTTTTAAGCAGCAGTAAGTAATAGAAGTTGATTTCCACATATATAGATGCAACAGATACCCAGTTTTGCATATTCAGTCTTTAATGAAGCATTCAAAAAAGTGTAGTAGTCTTGTAAAAATATATAATGTACTGGAACATTACGTACAATAAAATTTACCAAAAAAATTATATCTATAAAAAATCAGAATAATTTTCTTCTCAATTTACAGATTGGGAGATTGAATGTCATTATATGCTAACATTGAAATTCATTAAGCATGCATAATGATCCTATCAAGTTTGCATAAAATCTGATAAAATCTTTGACATTACTCAATTCAGAGTCACAGAAAAGATGTTCTAATCGGTCAGAAAGATCTCAATACACTAAAGTGTTCGGGGCATTATCTTTGATTATTCAGCTATCTGGTAAATTTATGTTTACCTGCAAAGCAGTGTCATCTTCACTTATTTTCTTTCAAAAATTGAATAAATTAATGGAGAATAAAAGACTGCAAGAAAATTGCAAGATATTATTAAAAGGACCAGATATGGAATTTTAATGGCCTACTGCATCAAATTTCACAGAGCAATGCTGAGCATTGTGAAAAGTTTTGTATATAATGGAAAGAAAATTGGATTGATTTACAGGTATTGATAGTTAGCTGGGAAAAGGGGGGGGGGGGGTGTTAAGTTGTTGGGTATTATATTTCTGATGACGGAAAAAGTAGAGTGAAAAGTCAGGGTTATAACCCTTTTTGAAGTGTTTATCAATACTACTGTTGAGGCAGTGCAGTGGCAATTGGTTTCGTCTTCACCAAAGTTATTTCCTACTCTTTCATGTTGAAGTATTGTAAGAATATTATGGAGACTTGAGAGTTTTTCAATCCAATATTTTGATGAATGCTTACTGAAGATATACAAAATAAAGATTTTGTAAAGATTAGGCAATTTTTCACAACATTTTTTTTCAAGGAGTGGTGTAAGAAACTATAACAACAGTTTGCCTTGGTAATTATAAACAGAAAATATTGACTCTTTAGAACTTGTCTCGAAAAATATTTTACCTATGGCTAAGTTCCAACGTGGAAGTTTTTTTTGAAGAATCCCTTTAAATGGACACTTGGAACACACAGAAGGCATTTATCTGTGTTAAAGAATGTGTTCTGTTTGTCGGAAGGATATATAACTCGAAATCAGAAATAAAGAAATATAGATATACACAAGGTCTCAATCAGATGTCCCTTTAAACAGCGAGACTGATTGAGGATTTCTTTTTTTTCCGAATGATTGGTGTAAATTTGTTTACCTGAGGAAACATTGCTACCTAATTTAGGCTACGGTTCCACCTTTTAACCAAGTTTATTTGTGGATTTTAATAAGATCTTTTAACAGGGTACAGGGGGAAAATGGTCGAAAAAAGGGGGTGAAAATATTTGAATTGAAATTTATTTTGTGATGACTTTTGATAACAAGAGACTGTAAAGAGATTTATGTACGTGTGTTTGGTTTTTGTGTCGGTGTCGGTGATGGAAGTTTTGTGTCAAGTGTGAATTAATGTAGATTCAGCTGAAGAAGAAGACTGGATTGACACACTCGTCTATTGATTTACAGGGTCCCTCGGATTCATCATCGAGCTGCCTCTGGAAAACCACTGTTTCTTTGGTGTCAAAAGTTCTATGGCCATTAAATGGGTCTCTGTTCGTAATGCAGAAAATGAGGTTGCTGTGTTCCGGTTAAGAAAAGAAAAACTGAATTATTAACCGGAGTAAAAGAATAAAATTTTATCCACAAGATAAGAAAGAATGTGAAATCTTTTGAAAGTTTTTAATGTCGAATTTATTACAGTGTTAGTTGTGATGTATTGGATTTTGGGGAAATTTCTAAGCTTCCGCTCCTTTAATTATGAAAGGTTTTGAGGATAAGAAGTAGAGGAGAAAAAAAATTAAAGGAGCTGTGTAACTTTCCTCTGTTATTAAAGTTATGCATGAGTATCAATTGTTCTCAACAGATGAAAGAAGCCAGTTTCTTTAAATAATAGCTGCTCCATGACATCTGAGTATTGAATGCGTATCCATACCTTGCGTTTCTGTTGAGATAATTGTCATTGCAAATAAGGTGTTATTATTCCCTAAGTGTGATACACATATACTTTGTTTTTCTGCCATCTCGAAAGATTCCTTTGCAGTCCAAAGCTGAGCCTCAGGACGAATGTTTTTGACTGCTTACTGGTATTAGATTATCGTAGTTCTTCTCTCCAAGCTTTGTGTATGAATTCATGACTTTTTGGTAAAGAAGGAAGGAATATATTCCTTTGTAATGAATTTCAAGAGATTATATGCTGTGGTTCTGGAAAGATAAGTTCGACGGAAGAAAAATTGCCGGGTACATGCAACTATCACATAAATCTACAAAGAAGATGCTTGGTACATCGTGGCATACTTACTTGCAGACTCCTAAAACATTACCATTTAACAATTGAACGAAAAAGGCAAAAAGGGAATTTTATTAGTTATCTGAAGTTTTTTTTTGTTGTGGCATTCCATAATATACAATTAATTGAGTGCTAGATATGTGCATGATGTAATTGGAATTAATGAATTCTGCTGACTCTCGGATTTTCCACGTGTGATCTCTCTGAAAAATGAAAGATTGAAAGATTCTTCAATATTCGATCACAAGATATTGATAGAATAATAGATTTCTAAATGAAAGTGTATTCGACTTAAAAAGCTGAAATAGCATAATTAATTGTAACGTTAACGTCTATCGCAGTACAAAAGTCATGGAGCTGGGGAAAAACAATATGTATTTAAGAGCTTTAACCCCAGATAATCTCAGCTTTCGACCCAAACGAAATAAGGATATGCGCAAACTGGCTTTAACATTCTCCTATCGAGATTTCACTGACTTCTTTAGGGTAAGTCTTGCCATTAGAGTGACCTTTGTGTATGTGTTCTATGGAGCTGGAATTTAATTGCATTATTTCTTTTGTGACATGGCCCTATTTATTAAATTCAAATGGGTTTGTATCTGAATTTTGAAGTGTTTTTTCAGAAATTTAATTTGATTTGTACTTTGGCATTGCATGTTATGGTCTTAAATTTTTTATTAATTTAAAATCAAATGATACATGCAACATAAATGTACTGATTGACATTTGTTTTGGTATCTGTAGGCCCGATTCATTAAAATCAAATGAATTTGTATTTTAATTTTTGAAGTGTTTTTTAAATCAAATTTGAACTGTGTGTTAAGTAATATAATCTTCAAATTTTAATTAATTCAAGAGAGATGCATGCAACATAATGTAGCAATTGACATTTGTTTTAGTATCTGAAAAATATTGATACTTGTTAGTTAATTTCCCAAAACATTTAGCCTTAGATTAGCTCTTCAATCAGAAGTTTTTGTTATAGTTAGCCTATATTAACCCTAAATTAACCATGTTTACAGTTGAAATGTACCTTTTGCAGTCCTAGAAAATTAAATTACTGTAAAGTACATTGTATTATATTTAAAGTGTACGATATTTGGCGGAAAATGATTTTTGAACGAGGTAGTGCAGAATTGATTTAGGTTATTTATTAGTGTTCTTATTTAATGTGTATGTATGTAAAACATTAAACGATGTACTTAAATTAGTTGAAAATTACTTTCTGCCAAAGTTGCTCATAAGAATATATGGCTAAATGTCATTAGAATTACAATAAATTCGCATATCATGAATTTTGATACGGAAGGTCATGATGACGATTTCTTTCTGTTATTTCAGAGAGACAAGGATAGAACGCCGGAAGACGGAGATAAATGGTTAAAACCGAACACAGTACGTCATCGGAGAGCCTCACGACTTCAAGCTCCTCTCAGTCATTCACACGAGGTAAGACTCCTACACAATCACCTGTGTTTAGCACCTGAAAAATTACAGGTATATATTGAAAAATTGATTGAAATGACATGTATAAGCAATTTACCATAAAAATGAAATGCAGTTTGTCCTATATTTTTTCAAATAATTACAGGTACATATATTGAAAAACTGATTGAAACAACATGAACAGTCAATTTATCACAAAAATATCATAAAAATGAAAAGTTCCCATATTTTCGAAAATGTCATGTATTGACATGTATTCTAAAGAAATGTTGACACCTTGGCCCTGAAAACTAGGTGGTATTCATATAGCTTAAAAGAATCCAATATGACTTCTTTTGAAGTGAGTATTGTAATGCATCTTTTTTCCAAGATATTTTTGTTAAAACATTAATTCATTCCTTTTGGAGATTTAATTGACATTTGTAAAATGGTGGAGCTTGTCTCTAATAGGAATAAATCATCATGATAAACGGAGTACTACCGGTAGTTTTGATGTTATGACGTAGCAAATCATATTAATCTCTGTATGGATTGAGTTAATGCTGCTTTCACAAGACAAGATGATACCAGGAATGGTTACAAATGAAATGATACACTCTCATTGGAAATCTACAACTTCTTCAAATTGATGTATAATATTCTGTGGCTTTTGCAATCAAATTTTTTATGATTGAAGATCAACCTAAAACTGAAAAGCAACAAGTATAGTCGTGATAAATGAAGAAGGGCGCCCATAAACCTAAATAAATCAATGTATAAATGTAAAACCATGCAATTGGTTCTTTGAATTTTTACTTGAATCCCTTACTATATAGCTAGTAATTTTCAGACTTTTTGTGACTTTTCTTGAAATGAATTAGAATGAGGAGCGAACAGGAACTTATTGTGCCTGGGTGCTATGAATAGAAGAGGTATATACTGTATATAATTATGGTAGATATGCATGGGGGAAGTGTACACTTTACGTAATGAATGACTGCATATAAGGGAGAGTGTGAGAAAATCCATCATATTAAGGCACTAAATAGTTCTGATCTCTCAAGTATGCTGAAGGTATGTTGCACACTTACTTGTTCTCATGAACGTAACATTGTTTGTGGTCATTGTGTGCGGTGTGGGAAACACTTGGCCCAAAACAGGGTTCACATCAGGAGCATTTATATATAAATAGTGGAACAACCAAATATTTCTGTTAGATTGTAAAAATTTCATTCTCCACTTTGGGTTCAATTTTTTTTCCTTCAAAATATTTGGGGCCTTGTGATGTTGGATCTCTTTAATGTTGTCTGTCCACAAGGTGGACTGGTCCCCGCAGTGATACCAGTTTATGGAAAAATTTGTCGTAAATTCATGTTGGTAAGTTCAGTTTTGTTTTTTATAATAGGTCACATCAAATCCTTATTTATATGTAAAATCATGTAATCATTGGAATAGGATATACACATTGCTTAAATGTAATTTTTTTCAAAAATTTCTGGGGGGAAAAAGAACAACATTTTTTGTATATATTCAAAATAAGTGTAGAATATGTAGATATGGCTATAAATCAAATAGTTCCTTGATGATCAATCATTTCTGATTACTTAAGATTGAGCATTTGATCCAACATTTCCACTCTGGGTGTCAAGTCCAAATAGAGTGAATGCTAGTCCTCAAGGAATAATGGAACCAACTTACCATATGAGAATTTAAGGGTGGTGGAAGGGTGTTGGGGGGGGGGGGGGCTTCTGATTTTTTTAAAACCATTAACCTTCTTCATTTTGTTGATCTACTTTTCTGTCTTACACAGTTAAATTGGTTAAATTCTGCATTCTCCACTTTCACCTGCTTATTCTAAATTAAAATCTGTGGTCAGAGTTGTTAATTCCCACTGCTAATAACCAGGGTATATTATTGCTTGATCATGGACAGGAGGTTTAAAACTTGACATAAGAGGATTTTGACATGAAACTCTCCAGTCTTGAGTACCACATGTACAAGTGTGCATGATTACGGAGTACTAAGGGCTTCTGTAGGAGTATGTGTTTAAAGAAGATTATAAAATTTAATATTTATTATGCTGGTCATTGTATACCAAAGCTCTCTTACTTAATGTCTATTGCATACATGTGCATCATTCTTCTTTTTTTTTTTTTAAATCGGACCAAGTATTCATAACCTATTTTTAAATCAATCTTTGTTTGCTTTCAAACAGTATTAACTTTTCATGATATGGCCATAACGAAAATGGTACGAATAAAGAATGTGCGTGACTCTCGAAGAACTTCTTTAGATAAGAACTTCAAGGATTTTTAAAATGTTCATTTAATAAAAAAAGGGTTTTCTTGAAGAGGTTTCGAATTCACAAAGTTAAGCTTTATAAATTACAAGTTGACAAATGCATTTTTCTCTAGGTGTGTTTTAATTATTGATCAGATATTTTTGAATTTTTTAAAATTACTGAAAAGAATGTGTTTTTAATGGGCCCTCAAGTTGTTTATTTTGGCAGAGGGAAAAAAAATTTATGATGTATCTTTAAGGTACCATTAAATTATTTTTAAATGGTTAGAAATGAATGATTTTACTTCTTTTTATGTGCTCAAGGATTATAAAAATCTTTAATGCATTATACAACTTTCTTTTTATGATTGATTTGGGGACTATAGATTTTGGCATTGCAAATACTGGTCTTTTAATTTCACAGAGGAGTTTCAGTGATTCAAGGTGTTTCAACCACCCACTCACATTTCCCCCACCCCTTAATTAAAGTTGTGTAAATTGATCAAATTGCTTCTCTTGTATCAGGCTGCATGTCTTTCAGTCTTAAAGAGGAATTGGACATTGAGTTTCCAAATATTAAAGGGTAAATTTTAGATCATTCATATTTATGAAAATATACAACCATTTTAGAAGTTTGGAAATTAAGAAAATTTTTACACAGAAAAGCATTAATATTTAGCTCTTCGTTAAGTACAAGTCGTGAAACCAATGCTTGAATTGAACTTGTGAGCTACAGATCATACACTTACATTCTGACTGATCACTCTGTGGTTTGGTGGCTAGTAAAAAAAAAATAAATGAAGATGATATAAGGAATTACGATAAAAGTTCATTATCTTGTTTATTTCAAATGAAGTACATGTACATCATGTAATGAAGGCATGTCTTTTAATTCTACTGAAAGAGACACATATAACATGTAAAATCAAAAATAGATTCTTGAATGCATGAGACACATCTAATTAATAATTTGATTAAAAAAAATTCAAATATATTCTTTCAAAAAGTGGCTGGGGATGGGGGGGGGGCTAAAAGGGGGATAAAATTCCTGATGGGATCAAACCTTTGACATTTTACAGTTGAATGTCCAAGCCAGTTGTATTTACTACTGAGTCACTATTATATATTGAGTCAGTGCATTAAAAAATCAGTTATTACATAAACTTTATTGCATTTTTATGTAAATCAGAAAATAAGACAATAAAATTGTAATGATATTTAGATTACCAGACATTAACGTTATATAATTCATCTTCAGAAAGAGTACAAATTACATGTACACAATTTTTAATACAGGTATTCTTATATATCTTAATCATAAAAGGTTAAAATACGAAGATTTATCAACATTGATTTTATCTTTAATATCATGTTTAAAATCTCTTAAATACTAAAATGTCTATGTACATGTATATATCTATACACCTTTTTATTCTATGGAAGCTACAGTTGTGTTTAGTCAACAGTTACTCAGCATTTTATGGCAAAAAATAATTGCCACAATATCAGCGATGCATTTACTCATTCATTTGGTGTATGTCTTCAATTTAGGTGTTCCCTTGCTCAAGTGACTGCACCCAACCAAATAGTCCTGTGTATTAAATAGTTGTGTATTGTTGAGAAATGTATTGTAGAGGTTACTTTACACCATCTTTTTACTCTAGAAATTGAGAAATAACCTTGCAATTTGACTTTGTCATAAGTTTTGAGCATGTGCTTCATGTGAAGTAAAGTAGTGTTGTTATACTTGAGTATTAAATGGTTTTACTGTTATGGAAAAGTTGAGAAATTAGGAACACTATAGGAACCATCCTTTCAAAATCTGACATGGGACACTAATGCATGCATATGGGAAAAATTCAAGTCCGGCTTCTTTAGCAAAGAACTCTGTGGCTTATATAACATCTATTACAGTCTTTGTAGTTTAAGTTTTAGAAAGAAAATGGCTTCCTTAAGTGAAATTCAAGTGAAATTCAAGTTTTCATGGAAACCTTCAGGAAAGATTATGTTGGAAATTCCAGTGAGATGCAACTTCAGTTCTGTTTCAAAATTTTGAGGAAAGATTTCTGAATTGTTTTATATATGGATGTTTTTCATCTGGTACTGGTGAAATTTAACAACTTGCTTTTTGTTTCCATGGCAAGCATCATTAACTCATTTGACCATGTACGTGGTTTAAAAAAAAAATGTGGACATTCACTCAAAGATACAAAATTGGAGGAAAAAACTTTATTTAGATGTTCCAGTTTGTGATACAAGGATTCAACACACTTTCAGATGCATGACTTGTGTGTTAGAACTATAAATATCCAACATTTGGTCTGAATTTGATTTTATTAGATGAAATAAGTAAACACCAAATGGCAATTTAGCAAAGACCTGAATTAATTATCAAGTTTTTTGTTTAATTCAGCTGTTATGTACTTCAATTAATTCAAAGTGATGTTCAATATGCAAGTTCTTTTTTTTTGGACTTAATTACATGAAGATGTGAATGACTTGTTTTATACACATGTAGTACACGTTCTAGCTAATATGGAATTAGCTAATATCGCATTTCATCAATCTCTTCAGGTAGGTCTTAAATGTCTTCAGATGAAAAAATATTTTTGACATTTTAAAATTTAATTATTTTATAAAAGTTGTAAATACAATCATGTCTGAAAGTTAATTGGCAAATTGAAGAATATTACACTTTCTGTCTATATAACAGAATCTTCTCTTTGACACAAGTCATTGGATAAGAAGCATGCTAGCTATGAAGGTAATGTTTATTATAAATGTTTACTTCAAATCAATATCACATCCATAGAGTCCTATATTTTTTCTTTAGTTGATTTGTTTGCTGGCATTTTTTAAAAAAAAGAATAGGAATAAAGAATATAACAAATTAATTAACTATTTAGTTAAAAAAAATATTTGGTATTGAATTAGTTTTTATTCTGAATAATTGATTTCCAAGATATTTTATAATAATGGGGATTTTAGTCAAGTTAAAAAAAAAATTAATGACAATTAATGAAGGTATGTTGCTATAAATATAATTTTATTATGATTGACTTTTCTCTATCTTTTGTTTGGGGAGAGGGTATGCATAGAATTAAATGTCTGTTGCTTGGTCTTAATCATTTATAGGCATACAATATTCTAATAGTTTATTCCAAAGAGTACATAAATTAATGATTTTTTTTCTTTGACAATTATAAGTTCCAATGATCAGGATTGCTTATTTTCATAATTATATTTTTCTTAATCAAACCCCATTGCTTTTTATGCATACATAGACCAATTAATGACTGAAAAATTACAGTTGAATCTGCAATTAATTAAATGAATGATTGAGATTAATTAGGGATGAGAGGAAATTGTATATTGGATTAGTGATACTTAAAGTTTTATAAGAAGCACTAACTGGATTTAGAACATAGATATGTTTGCTTAAGAAATCATGATCATCTGTTATTTCAACAAGCAAGATAAAATACAGGATATGATGTACAGTTGGGGGACTGTTATAATAGTATATAAATCAAGGCTGGGCTAAGGATTAACACCTACTAGTCTCATGGTTACACATGGTCTCAAAAACATTAACCTTTGAACAAAACTAACTGTTAAAAATACATGTAGTGTTTGTCATAAAAGCTCTTTTTCTTTCTTTCTTTCTTTATAAAAATATTTAGTGTTATTACTTTTTAGTCAACTTTGATTCAATTTCAACATAGGTTTTGACACCATTGAACTATTCAAACATATTGGTGTCAAGATTTTTGACTTTTCTTAGACTGCAGGGAGCCAAAACTGGTCAGGCCTGTAAACTACTCAGAATCTGTCACTTTCAGCCAGCAGCCATGCTGTGATTGGTCAATTTTAATTGTTCACTGCGAAAGATTTGATCTGATTGGCTGAAGTGACAAACATGTTCCATCCCATTGGTTAAAGCTAATTAAATGTGTGAAAACATGGAATTACATATGGAAACAAGAAAATAATCTAATTACCGTATAATCCCTATTGCGCTTAGAAAAAAGCGGTTATTTTGATATTCTTGCCAAAATTTTGAATGTCATATTTTAACCTCAAGAAATCTTTTGGAAAAAAAACAAATAACAGAAAACTACTAAAAATTGTCTAACCTTCCTTTAAATTACAATAATCCATCAAAATTATGCTATATGACTCATTTTCCCACTTTGAAATTAGGGAATAGACACGGAGAACAGATTTTGTACTTGTATGTACAACTTTCACTTTCAGAAATACATGATTAGGTCGTTCATAAAACTTTACCTTTCAAGAATTTTTTATGTATGAGTTACCTAATAACAAAGTTTCATTTTCACTTCCTTCATTATGGCGAACTTTTGATACGATTCTGGATGATTTCTATCTTAATGAAAAAGACCCAGGGGGGCGCTAATAGGGGTAGGGGCGGTTAATAGGGATTATACGGTATCATCTCAAATTGATTTGTACTGATAAAGATCTCTATGTCACTTTTTTTTATAATTGAACACTGTCATGGAATCATATAAAATTAGACCAACCCTAAAAAATCAGTATTAATGTAATTTCGATCAGTCTCTAAACATCTATTCGCGAAGTGTAAGTATTAATCCCCCCAAAATGTATCTGGATATTACTATCAAGAGATCAAGTGTAGAGAAACAACAGCAATATGAGAGACTTTATCAGAGCACTAGAAGAAGGAAAAACAGGGGAGAGAATTTGGACAAATCTTTCAGCATCAGAAGACTTTCAAAAAGACTTAATAAATCTTTGATTGTTGGAAAATTGAATGCAGTAAGTGATATATGAATTCATGGGAATTGTAGAATTTGATAAAATTAATATAAAGTCCTTTGGGGTTTTTTTTCATCTCAGTGTGTAGGCAAATTAATAATGTATTTTTTGTTTTTCATTTTTTTTTTTCAAGTAATAACCATTTTTCAATCATAATTAAAATGGTATTTATTAATTTCATGAGAGATGATGTTTTTTGAAGCACTAATTGGATGTAATATGGAAAATTTGATAATCACATTTTTATAGTATTAAGTATAATTAAATAATTAAGGCACTGCTAGAATTCTTTTACCCTTTTATAAATGTATCCAAAGTTGCTTTTTAACATAAGAGGATTATTAATTCAGACAGCTTTATACAAAAGCAAGCTGATTTTTGTTTTTCTGGACTGTTTTGACATGTCACAATATACTTCATTGTGTAAAGTGACACTCAAGCTTCTGTCTTTTTTTTATTTTAATCAAAAGAACCATAGCATAGGGCTTAATGATAATGATTATGCACTGTGATCTTAACTGGAACATTTAAAGTTGTGTATCTGGATCTGTTAGTTTGGGAGCCTTTAATCAACTAAATGCACTTGAAATAAGGACATTGGATTAAACGTGAAGTTATAACGTTATCATGCACCATGTCACCTGATGGTTCAAAAGTTAATTTTTTATTTTCTGACTACTATAATCTGTGCTAACAGGAAGTTAATCTTTTTTTTTCAAATGAGGAAGTTTGTTTTAACCGACGGAGTCCGTGTTATTAACCTGCATCTTCTCCGGAATCCGCAGATTTTTTTTCTGGAAATTTGATTGATAAGGGTTTCTCGGGGAATTGTTTCATTAGAACAATGGCTCGGAGCTCATTGTTTTAAAAACAGTGTGTGAGAGTGGGATGATGTTTTTGGGCAAGTCGGAAACTTTCACTCTCGGACACGATGAATTGTCCGTGGGGATATTGTTTTCTCCCAGCGGTAGATACAAGAGGAGATGGGTAAGATTATATAGATAAAAAATACTATGGATAACAGTCTTATCATTGTTAAATTTATTTTTTGCTAGCTCTTAATAATTAAATCAAGAGTATCTAAGGGACTTCATATTTCAGTTAGGTTATGGCCTTGTAACAGCTGATACTAGTTTAAGCCTAACTTAAGTTTCAGATTAAATTAATTGAATGAAATAAATTGTTGAATTAGCCCCAATATTTTTTGCTACTGATAGTATTTCCTTTGACAAAGCTAGGTCAAGAAAAACTGGTTTCAGGTTATATTAATTTGATGACCTTGTTAAATAAGCCTCATTAATAAATACCACTTGATTTATTATATTCTGATTGATAGGTATAAATCTTCCAAATTTAATACACTACTCATTGAAATGCACAACAATGACACAAAACAATAGCTGCTGGGTCAGGACTATTGTTCCACTCTAGTTGTGCTGTTATGCACTCTTTGATTTTTTTTTTCCATTCGTAATCAGATGATGGACTAGGCGACAATGCTTCTAACACGTCAGTCCTGTCTGCAAGCTAGATCTGGCTTTTTTTTGGTTAAAAACCAGAAACGGCCTTTAGGCAGTCCACTGAAGATTTCTAATGATTTGGAATTTGGGAAATCAGTGGGGTAATAAAAGGAGAGGTGTATACACTTGTAACAAGTTGTTAAAAAGACAAGACTGTATAATTTGTCTGTAGGGGAGATTCATTGATCAAGCAATTTAATTGTATAGCAGTGATAAATGATATTTTGTGCTTGTATAAACTTGATAATATATCTGTCAATCTATAGGGATAAAAACACTTTACTACCAACCGAAATTTTAAAGTTACTGCTTCATGGGTTTGTGGAAGGATGTAGAAAGTGTTTTTCTTCTAAATTTAGATGCAAAAGCCTCTTATTTTTGTGCATTTGATTAGTGGTAGAGGAACTTGTTAGGAAGTTATTAATTTTCTCTCATTGAGAAAGTAGTTTTTGAGAACTGTGTTGTGTATACGTGATAGAGCTTTGAAGAAAAAAAACAAAATGCATTTCTTGGAGGGCAGGTCTGAGAGTATGTTTGAACTAACAGAAGGATTGCTTTCTTGTGATTGTGAGGAAGACCTTCTTAATATGAATGTCATGGTGAGTGTGGGACCCATTCTTTGTTATTGGGGCTCCATTTCTATATTTTGTCATAACAAGGTCATGACGGTCTTCATGATTATTTGAGAGGATGTGTACTTTTGTGAATAGGAGAAGTATATATTATGCACCTGCTATGACTTGAGAATGTTTTCTTCATTTTAAGGCCAATTTAAGAAGATTTAATTTTTGTCCTGCTGACACCAGGTACTACATGTATTTTGGGGTGGGGGTTGGGGTGGGGAAAGAGGATAAAAATATTCAAGATGGTTTTAATGAAACCCTCCTGTGTCTTGCATTGCAGAGATGGTTTGTTCATTAAAAACAATTTCAAGTACATTTAAAAAAATATATATATTTTACATGAAATTTTTTTTTCTATTTTTAGTCTCTCATTGCCTTGGAACATGATCACCAAGGTCATCGAATCTCAGCGGCCGGCAGCGTCAACAACATTAACGCCGCTAACAGTGATGACGATGAGGATCTCAAAGTGGAGGAAATCGGCAGAGTCGCGGGCTGGGCCGTCAACTTCGAGAAACTTCTCAAAGATGGGTCAGGATTGGTTATTTTTACGGTAAGTTTGTTAGTTAAAACAATCATTTTAAAAAATCATTTACACGTACATTAGATATACCGGTACCTTAATTGAAACGTCATTATAAGAGCATTACTTGCATTTTATTGCCCATTTCAAAATGATTTAAAAGTGCTCTAAATTTTGACTTCTTGAAACATGGATTTTAAGTATTAGATAGCATCAGATGATATTATTTCATGAGTGACACTTAAGTTAAATTTAAATTTCTTGTTCTATTGGAAATATAAAAGACCCTTCTTAAAATAATTTTTTTTTTTCATAAAAAGTTTACACTGCTTGAGCATGTTGAGATCATGTAGAGTAAATAATAATTTATTTCTGTAATGGTTATTTTTAAGCATGAAAATAGATAAACTGTCATCATTTATTGAGTCTGCTTTTGTAGGAATTTCTGAAAAAAGAATTCAGCCAGGAGAACATAATTTTCTGGAGGGCGGTGGAACAGTACAAAAAACTCGTGGAGGCCGACAAACGCAAAGCCAGGGCCAAGGAAATCTTCACGAAACACGTGTCTGTGAAGGCCACGGACCCAATTAACATCGAGCAGAACGCCCGGCAGCAAGTGGAGAAACAGCTGGACAATCCCAGCATTAGTACATTTGATCGACCACAACAAGAGGTAAAGAAATAAACAAAAGCAGGAAAAGAAAAAAATAATTTTTTCTTCTTCAGTTAATAGGAATAGGAAAAATTATGATGTGTAATATCATTTATTGTTTAATGAGGAAGGAAAAGATCTTTATTGAAATATGGCCAAAAAAAATCATGTAATTGTGGAGTCAAATGACCAATTTTTCATTGCTACTTTCCATTTATGAGGAAGCTATGGTAGGGAATATTGGAAAAGCAAGTTCTGTGGTCATGCAAATATTCATTTCACGGAAGTTAGCACTGGTGATAGAATGCAGGGGAAATATTCCTCACCAGCTCATAATTTATTAAGGAAGCATAATAATAAACAGGAAAAAGTAGAAATAAAATTGATGTAAACAAACATAAAAATCTGTATTTATTTACTATATTTTTATCCCATCAGATCTTCAAGCTGATGAAACAAGACAGCTACCCCAGGTTCATTAAATCAGAGATGTACAAAGTCTACCTCATGAGAGAAATGGAGGGAAAGCCTCTCCAGCTACCAAAGCCCGAGGGGGAAGAACAGGGGGGAAAAGGAAAGAAAGACAAGAAAAAATCTAAAGACAAGGACGCCGAGGAGAAAGACAAGGAGAAGAGACGACGATCACTGCTCCCCCTACCCTGGGGAAAAAGTACGCATCTGTTACAGTGTAAAAATACTGCATCAAAAACACTACATTTTATCTTAGCAAAAATAGTGTTGATTTCTTCAAAATAAAGCTCTTTTGCTGAATTTCAGATTCAGATGTATTTTGATTTTGATCCTTAGATACTGCTATAAACACCAATGTACTGATTAATTTTTCTGAAAATGCATACTCAGATAGGATCACTTAGCAAGTAATACCATGAACTTAGGCAAAGAATACATGATAAACTATGGATATTAAAAGTCTTTCATAAAAAATAATCAAATTAATGTTCGTTATTCCAGAAACCAGTAAACAGAATCTCAAGGTGACCTCCGACACAGACCTGAAGAAACAGAACAAAGAGAAAGAGAAGATGTCGGTGTCGTCGTCGGCTGTTACTAAGGAAGTGAACAACAACCTGATGTCACAGCGCAAGCCGGCCTCGGGACCCGGGATTGACCTCAGTACCATGAGGAAAGAAGTCCAAGCTAACACCAAAGAGGTTAGTAAGCTCGGCAGGCAATCTCTCTGTCTCCCAGTTATTGATTTTATTCCCAGGAGTAATGTAAGAGCATCAGGTCAATAATGAACTTATGAATGGTTCTTTTTTTTTCTAAGAGAGCTTGCAAAGCTGGAATGTGATCTGAATTTATAAAGATAATATAATGAGAATGAATGAAATATTTTTTTTTTTTACAAACCTCTCTGGGAATTTTTTTTTTCTCTGTCATGAATTAAACATAAATTAATAAGAATTGGCATGAAAAAAAATCCCTTAGTGCTCAAAGGTCCTAAGTGCCAAGTATAGCTATAATATTTGCAGCCCTCCAAGTGATGGCTTCTCAATATGATAAAAAAATTCTCTGATATTTTAAACAAACAAAATAAGAATTGAATCCTTTGTACAGGTCAAAGACAAAGATGGTACAGAAGAGAAGAACATGAAGTTCTGTCGTGTGATCCTGCCCGACGGATCCACCACTGTGGTGTGTACCAAGCCGGGTCAGAACATCCGCACCGTGCTGGGACGACTGTGTGAGAAACGGAGCCTCTCCATCGCAGCCGTAGACGTCTTCCAGCTGGGGTCAGACAAGGTGAGAGCTCGATAAATTTTGTAGTGAAGGTATTGTATATGTTGTAAGGGATACATAAAGCTCGATTGATTTTTAAAGTAAAGATACTTGGAGAATCTCCCAGATATGTAAAGCAATAATAGTGAAAAGAAGGCATTGCTGGATTTTGTTTTGATTTTTATTTTAACATTTTTTTTAATATAATCTTTGGATGATCCAGGTTAAAATTTATATCATTGTTTTTCAGCCTCTGGATTTGGGCGAAGACATTTCCACACTGGGGTCAAAGGAGGTCATGATCGAAAGACGTGTGTTGTTCCGTATGGATCTTCCTCACAGGAAATCAATCGGAGTCAAGGCCAAGCCCAATCGTACAGTCCGTGATGTGTTCAAACCAATCCTCAACAAATATGGCTTTAAGCTGGATAATATAACTGTTCAGTTGGTAGGTTAACAAGATGGAAGATTGTAAAGAGAAAGACAAAAGATAATGGACTTAGTACAGGCAGCATTAAATGTAAAGAAAGTGAGAGAGAAAGAAAAGTTTCCCAAATGGAAATCATGGATACCTTTTTGGCAGATTTTTGAAGAACAAATCTGACCATGTACAAAAAAATATATCCCAGACACTCTGTATGTACATAAAGTGTAAATAGTCAACTGTGCATACCATTGTACAGTTATAAACATTTATGTGTACAGTCAGTAGAAAATTATATTACTCCCAAGTAGAGATTTTCCTTGTAACATCACATTGGGACAATGGACGTTACAAAAGAAAATCCTGCATAGATTGTTCATAGCTCCCCCTCAAGTCAAGAGCTGTAAATATCAGGCTAAAGGTATTCCAGATTTCTATTCCAAATTTTCTACATTTGAATTAGAATCCTCAAATTTTTCTGTTCTCTCAAACTTAAATAATTTTTTTCAATTTTCTAAATGATTTTCAGATTTAAGTCAAACTGTAAGAAATCACATTTTGTTTTAGTGATTTATGAGCTGTATAATGAAAAATTACTAATGGTGATATTTTTTTATTTCAGTCAGGACAGACAGGATATGTAGACATTGACGAACAAGTCTCCACCATTGATAACCAGCGCGTTGTGATCTCAACCATTGAAAACTCAGGATCTCAAGGTAGGTTCAATCTCCAGACCATTGATCATGCATCAGTTTGTCATGCCATGTTTAGCATAGTTCATTTTGTTCATGTAATCATTGTCCTATGTATCAAATTATCACTCCATTCATCATTCCTGCATATAAAGCGACTAACATCATGAAAAGACCATGTAAAATCCATTAAAATTTCATATCAAATCAAACAACAGCAAAAATTATTAAAATGGTGATTTTTTTAGTCATCAGAATCATTTTTCCACATTATCCATTATGATTTTCATTTTTCCATCATTTATAATTGATAATGCAAAGAGGTTTGAAAAAGAAATCACTTTAGTCACATTAATCTAAGGGAGAGAACTCTTGGAAAAATTTTGGCATCCAGTTGGCACTGGCTTGAAAGATGTGGGGTACATTAAAAAAAAAAATGCAGAAGGTGGAGGGAGCTAATTCCTGCATGTTATTCAAGCACCTTTTAATCACCACAATAAACCATTCACGCTTTGTTTCCTCATTCTAACAAAGGGGTTTTTAATACATGTAATGCTATTAGAATTTCACATACTTGACTGAGGCTTATAAAAAAAATAATTATAAATAAAAATATGATGGAATATCAAGGACATTGACTGGTTTATTGTGGAAGAATTTGTCCTGGTATTTTGTTTATCGGGAAGCACGCTAATTGGAACAGGGAAGAAATATATAAAAGGGCGGCAGGGAAATATTTATGTCTGCTTTACCTCTGTGTTCCAGTTGGAGTGCCGCAGCTTGCACAAAATATACAATATATTAATTTTTTGCACTTTTTCACAGGAGTTAAATTGAGATTTTAAGAAAATGAGGCTTGTGAAAAGTGATTAATGTATATACTGATGCAAATTTGCACATGATTTTTTTATGACACATTTCACAATTTACACAATTATCATAATAATCATTAACATTTTAAAGGCTGGCAGAAAAATAATCGTTCATAAATTTATCTATACTCTTTCACCTAATTTTAATTTGAAATTGACTTAGGTCATAATATTTATATTAAAATTTGCACCAAGTTTATCATATGTATATATGTCACATCTAATTTTATTCTCACACAAACCATTAAAGCAACTGACAATTTATTGTGGCACATTTTGCATCGAGATAAAATCAGAGCACATTTTAACATATTATAATATTGAAAAGAACACACAGATCTAAAAATTTATGTTATTCATTAGTTAATTTACTGATAGTTTACAATGTTAGATTGAATTTGTTGTCTGAAAACAATGAAAGAAATACAAAATTGACTCTTGTTGTTTAAGCTTAATAATCCCTTTGGTCAGTCATCTATTACAAATTTTACTTTAATATGATTTTTTTTAAAAAATCTAAATTACAGCTAAAATTTATGCAATATCACTATACTTTGCTGTGCAAAATTTGAAAGAAATAACCTTTCAACTTCACAAATTTTTAAGGGAGTAAAAATCCTTAATCCTAGGGACCAAGGATTTCCCTTCTCAGAGGGTCAAAACACCCTTAAAGAAATTCAGTTTTCAGACAACACATTTCAATCTTATAGAGGAATACCACTAATAAACTAATCTATTCACCTTTTTGCATGCCTTCATTTTGCTAACAGCTAGTTCTAGTGATGGCTCCACATCTAATGTCTCGCCAATGGCCGTAAAATATCCCCCCGATTTCCACGTCGACCCCCAGAGCTGCTCGATCTCTCTGGATGCAATCACCAATCGTATCTTTGAGGATTTATTGAAAGGCAAATCCAAGAAGGCTCATAATTTTGACGAACTTGGAATTTTAGATTTGGATTCGCGGGAGAAGGTAACTAGACAAGCTTTAGAGTCGTGCAGTGACACGGATGAGGATGATTTTTATAGCTTGTCTGACTAGCCCTACACTAACACCTTTTATTTTTTTTGTGTAGACCTTTTTTTTTTTGACTTGAGTGAGTGCATTTAGCAATCGCCTTGTTTTTGTTGTGCATTATGCAATTTTAACATTGATTTGGATACCTATGGATATAATGCATTAAACTTTGAGAGAGAGAAATTTTTACTGAGCTGTGGACAGGAATATCATGAATATGCATTGGTTGTGAATCTAAACCTATGATCCAATTGTCTTCATTTTCAAAATGTGTTCAAAAAATGAAAAAAAAATTATGAAGAGCCATTTCAAGTCCTTGTGGTCACTTTTCTTTCGGTGATGGGCAAACTACTGTATGATAAGACCTCTTGGTAAATGGACATGATCGTCTGGACATATGTGAAACATGTAAGTCGTGGTTTTTTATAACATGACCTGATACATGTATCTATTTCCTGTCACTTCCTATAGCTTCAACCTCAATGACTCAATCGTAAAACTCTCACTGAAATCTCAAAAGTATTAAGAACTACGGAAGCATGCAGGAAAAGACTACTCCAAACACTACAGTACTTCAAATGGCTAGCAATGTCTTGCATTCAAATTCAGATCCAAGACTCAAAGTTTAATGCAATGTTTTCCAAACTCCAATGACCTTGAATGTGCTTTTACATTTCCTTTTTGAGAAAAATATTAAATAATGCTTTTTATGTGTGAAAAGATGATCTAGTGTGGCACAGAGTAAGTACAGTGGGTTCCGTTTAAACGGATAGTCAGGTTGTCAGAATAATTTTATCCGTATAGCCGAATATTGGAATAGCCGATTGCAATATTTTCCGTACAAACGACAGATCTACAGTACATAAGTAACAATTTCAACATGGTTGTATTACGTACCTGTACTTTCGTTTTCGTTTGATGAATGTACCAAGTCAGAAAATGAATTATTTCACTTAATTTAATATGATTTTGTATGAATAATTTGTTTTTAATTGAAGTATAAAACTTATTTCCATCTTTATATATTTATTTAGCACCAGGCACCTGTTTACATTCATCCCATTCGTTGATGGCATCCATTTTGGAAAACGGAAGTTGATTGAATACATAACTATATTACGTAAACCATTTTTTTCCGGATTGCTGATCAATAAATAAAAAAAAAAACGTTTATTGTTTCATCTTTATTTGTACGTTATATCATTTTCAAGCACATAATAGAGCATAAACATATTGACAAGCACATCAGATTTCAAAGCACTACAACTAAGAACAATTAAGTAAAATACAAACAAGAATAAAATATGATAAACGTAAAAACGAAAAATGATAAATTAAAAGTCAAACATATTTAACACAAAGTAGTCACTGCTTAGTCACTGTTTCTTTCACTTAGTCTTTATGGTATCCAGTTTATGAATTCGGTGATCTTTGACTGTTTCTTCAGGTTTTCGCCTAAACGCTCACAAAGTTCTTCCAATGCGTAGAATGCACTAAAGTCCTCACAACCATTTTCCTCCAGGAAGCGTCGAACATTGGAGAGGGATTCGTTTTTCTCTGTTGAACTCACAGGCAAGGTGAAGCTCTTTTCTTCATCGCTGACTTCTTCTTCCGGGGCTCTTGTCGTTTCTTCCTCAATGAACTGTGCGCAGATCTCATCGTCTGTAATTTGTCTGTGGCACTCGGTATCGTCGTCGTGGTTCACAAACTCAAGGAACTCTTCTCTCTCCATACCGTCAGGTATAGCTGGATCTTCCTCTGGCATTTCTTCTGTGCTGTCGGAATGGAAACCTGCCTTCCGGTAACAATTCACCACTGTACTTTCTTTAACTCCCCGCCATGCTTTACTGAGTAGATGCACTGCGTCGAGTAATGTAAGTCGTTTAGCAATGTCCGTCGCTGTTGAGATGTTGCCGTTGTCGATCTCGCTGACCATTTTCCGTATAACCTGTGATCTGTAGAGGGCCTTCAAATTCCGGATGATTCCTTGATCACATGGCTGGATGATGGACGTCGTGTTTGCAGGCAGAAACTCGAGTCGGATGTTGCTAAGTCGATCGGCAGCGTCTTTAGGATGGGCTGAACAGTTGTCCACGAGTAGAAGAATTTTTCTGTTCTGTCGTACCATGTCTCTGTTGAAATCCGACAGCCACTGCTTGAACAAGTCACCAGTCATCCAGGCATTTCCGGAACTCTTGTAGATCACCGGTAGACTTTTCTTCCCGCGGAAACACCTTGGGTCTTTGCTTTTGCCGATCACCAGCAGTCGACGCTTGTCTGTTCCGGTCATGTTCACTGTCACTAGCGCTGTCACTCTGTCCTTTGCCTTTTTGGAGCCAGCCAATTTATCTGTCTTGAAAGTCAACGTTCCATCAGGAAGTGCTCTGTAATAAATCCCCGTTTCATCGGCGTTGTAGATGTTCTGCGCCTCGTAATCTTTCATCAGCTGTGGTAGGACATCTGTTATCCAGCGATCGGCTGCGTCTGTGTTGGCGTCCTTCTTTTCTCCGTGTATCTTCTTGTAGCTGATGTTATTTCGTTGCTTCCATCGGGACAGCCAGCCAGTCGTTGCGGTGAAATCGACGTTCATTCTCGCTGCCAGGTCTTCTGCCTTTTCTGTTAGGACTGCGCTGGTGACGGGGAGATCTTTGGTGCGGGCCTTTGTGAACCATTCTGTAAGGGCCCCCTCAACTGTCGGTGCCTTCCCAGACCTTTGTCTTTTTCTTTCTGGATTAGCGCTAGTTTCGTAATCTTTTCGTATCGTTTCTTTATTTTTTGAAATAGCGCTAATCTGAGGTTGTGAACAACCTAACTTCTTGGCAATTTCTGTTTGGGGGACTTTCTGCTCAAGAAGTTTAACCGCTTCATACTTGTCTGCCAGGGAGAGATCTGTTCTTTTCCTCTTCAGAGCCATGGTGAGAATGATGAATTTAATTTTCAGACGTATATTTATACGGGGTGCTTGTGATTTTAATTCTTAAAATTGCACTTAAAAGTGAACACATATTCAAATAAATGACCAAGCGCTACCATTTAATAGCGCTACCATTTAATAGACGGTCTAATTCTGATAATTTTAATTTAATGTCCAAGCGAAGTGTCATTCGCAAACTGAACAGTTCAATAATTAAAATTTCATGCCGAACAAAATTGCACACAAGCCAATTATCAATGATCAGAATTAACACCAAAGCCGGTCATCACTATTGTTATCAAAACATATCGATCTACTGTGCCCACTGTTAACACAGGTAAGGTGCTGGCCGTTCAGCCGTGACTAATCCCCTCATTGTCGTAATTTGAGTGAAAGTGTCAAACTTGTGTAAACAAAGGATTTACATACGGAAGGTAGAGGTGTGAACAAGACAGTTATTATGAAAATCACTATGATAGGCGAAATTTTTGTATCAGATAAAACGAAAATCCGATATTTTCCTATCAGAATTTCAGGTGAAATTATTAATAAATATATAAGAAATGGTTTTGTGCTCTGATATTGTATCAGATTAGCCGAAATATTCGTTTAACCGCTATCAGATTAAATGGAATCCACTGTATATATAGCTTTATGTGTGCAGTGTCAGTATAGATAGACATCGTAATGTGATTGTAGCCACACTCTAACACCTGTGTTTTGCATATAGCTTCAGATTTAATCAACTTTGTGTGTATAGCAACACTGATATATAAAACAAAAAAATACCAAAGCTTTTTAACTTGTAAATTATAATCTTGATCTTTAAATATGCTTATTTTCCTTTTAATATGCAATTTTCAGTGCAGTGCATAGATTAAAGATTTTCTTGATGACTCAGTCTCTACTTTCACTTGTGGATATTTTTGAATAATTTTCTTTTTTTTCTCCTCTTTTTTTTACTTTCTTTTTTCAATGTCTTATGATTTAAATTATACATACAGTATTTTAATCATGAGAAAGTGCAATACATTTAATTTTGAATATTTTGAAATAAATTTTTGGAGATACATGTATTTTATACATTATTTTAAGATTTAAAGTAAAACTGATAAAGTTCAACTTGGTTTAAAATATTTGACAAAGGATATGAATAACTTAGGTTTGAATCATTTTTAAAAAAGTACACACATTTAAAACTTTTTATTTGACGCCGATTTGACTGTGATTTAACCTTTTTGTTTTTTCTTCCAATAGGAAGCCTTGAGAGGAACAGCCGACGATCGTCCATCTTTGGGTTTGTTTGGTCTGCTGAGAAAAGACTCAGCATACGGAAAACAGGCGTCGGAGCTAGCAAAGACGAAGACCCGCCACAAAGTTACATTTAACCTGCAGAAAAACCAAACACGCAAGTCCTCCAGGGACCCAGATGGTAAGTTTAAAATATTCAAAGTGATACGACTCACAGCATTTTTTTTTTTTTTGGCATTTTTAGTTTTTAGAAAGGAGAAGATTCTGTTTAATAATTGATTTTAAAAAGTAAAAAATTCTTCGATTCTGTACAATAATTTTCTTCCTTTGATTTTCCAGAGGAGAGATTCCTTGAACTGTTAACTAAAGCACAGAGCAGTCGTATGGACGATCAAAGGGGATTAGGAACATCAGCTTCGGAAATTCCCGAATTTTTACGGAACAAAGTGGAATATCCCTCTGGAAGGGAGAGTGCTCCTCCAATTCTGAAACACGATAATAAATCTCACCGCAAGGGAATGGTGGGAAATCCCGAAGACTACGTGCAAAACGAAAACGAATATTTTACGTCGTACACACGGGGTCAGGTGTCGATGAGACCCTCCTCTGTTCCAGCAGATTCATTTCAAGATCACTCATCCTCTCAAGGAGTTATGGACTCTAACGACGACAGTTATTTTGTGAATCAGGACCAGAGTTTTAGTGCTGATGGAGTGCTACCGTCGTCCAGTGAAGCGGACATCTATTTTCAGACCACGGATCCCGACAGTGCTGACTTTGACGATCCCCGATTGGCCGAGAAAGGCTTACGGGACCTGGGCTTTGATTACAGTTATAACATGTATCAAGCTAAGGCCTGGGGGTATTCTCGACATAGGCCCACAGGACTCTCACCTACAAGGCAAAAGAAACAGACGCCCGTTAAACAATTAGTGACATCCAATGAAAGATTCTCGCTAGACGAGGCTGCTCTTATGGACAATAGTAGGGATATGGACAAAACATTAGTGGCGCCGCAATTGGAAGAAAGACCGAATTCTTTACCGGCAGCCATGGATCGCATTTCACCGAGAACATTTAATTCACCTGTAGTGTCACCATTCGGAGCTTATGCGAGAAACTATGTCGGTGAAAACACTGTGAATCATTCAACTCCGAAGGCAGAGTCTGTGTCATCCCGATACTCTAATCATAGATCAGCATTTTACACGCCTGATGTTCACGTGGGATCACCGATCCCAGGGAATTCGTCTTTCAGTGGAGATATGAACGAGTCTCAAAAAGCCATGATTATAGACCTGGGGAGCTCTGATGAAAATGTCACTTTTGTATAGTATCTTTAGATTTGTCAGGTTTTAAATTTTATTTCAATTTCAGGTACTTTCTTTTTTTGAGTTAGTGCTATCAGTTTTCATTGTGCTATCGCTTTTGAAGTACATGTAATTTTTTTTTACCGACTTTGTTTTAAACTGTACAGAATAACCCTAGAGCAAATCATAGATCTAAGTTTTTAAAAAGTCATTCTTCATAAGTTTATTGCATTTAAAAAATGTGATACATGTTAAAAAGAAAAGTAGCTTTAAAAATGGAATATTGAGTATGAATATTTGTGTAAAAGATGTAAATGTGTGAACCTGTAATATTCAAGTCAACTGCCACTCACAGTGAATATGTAATATGGTGCTAATTTGTGTAGTCATTCTGCATGTGTGTAAATATTTTGAAACCTGAAAGTATGAGTGGTGTGTATATTGTCTTTTTTTTGTGTAACAGCAAAAGAAAAAAGTATTTCTATATTAAATGACCCTAAAAATGAATAAAAAACGTAAGCCATATAAAAATAGTGTTGATTTATTGAATGTGATACCAATGACTTAAGTTTGTGCTGAAAATAGGAGGACAAAAAGCAACTATTCAGAGCTAAAAATTGTGCATTAATCAGGTAATAGAAATGTTGATTATTGTATGCGCTGGATTTTTCCTGGTAAATAATTTCTATACAAAGAAGGCATGTGTGTGCAGGATCTTCCTGGTAATAAAGGCTTTCTATAAGCATGCCAGAATTTGCAATTTTCTAAAGAAACCTGCATTTTAGAAAGACTCAATTAGTGGAACGTAATTACAACTGCTTGACAATCGGTGGAAAGAAAATGCAGTATAACATTTATACAAACATGTAGCTGCGTACTTATAATGAACTCACAGTGAAATGATTTTCTAAATGGTTCTTAAACAAAATGTGATCAATTCTCCTTTCTTGACATTTTGCTATATAGGATATTACTTTGTGGATATAGCTCTTAATATCAGAGATTTTCTGTTAACTTTTGCTTGTGATAACAAATTAACAGTGGAGAACAATGGAACCAAACTCATTAAACAAAATATGAATCCATGCACTTACATCAAACTAGATACACGATACAATACATGTATACCTTTTACCAGACGTTTGACATTTAAATACAGTCATCCTACTTTTTACCATCCTGCTAAACTGTATTCCTACTTTTTACCATCATGCTGAACTAAACTGTATTCCTACTTTTTACCATAGTGACATATGCATGGAAGTTTATCAAAGCATACCGGTACATTTGAAAAACTTGAACCTTGGCATTGATCATGAGCTTCCAGACAGTGGGACATAAGTGTTTCACATACACAATTTAAAGCTGCTTCGACACAGATTTGATTTAAATATTTTCTCAAATTTTCTTTTCAATTTCATAACCTATATGTTGCTATAGCATATCATACATAAATATATAAAATTCTTATTTTTTCTGGAAGTTATTTAATTTTTCATTGATACACAACAAAATTGCTCCTTTTCTTAAGATCTAAGGATAAAGTTAAAATTTTTGAAAGTGTAAGGATGTGTCAATCAAAGGCGTCTAGAAATTCCAAATTTCAATACTTTTTAGGAAAAAAGATGTTAATTCTATTTTCATATGAAATGCTATCATAACATATGTCATGAGATTATACAGAAAAATTAGGAAAATATTAACATCAAATCTGTGTCTACGCACCTTTAACATATAGGTAATAAGTAGGCAGAGTTGTCTCCTCTTTCATATATGTACATGTATATCATCAAATTTATAACTCACATACTGCTTATAGTGATTTTTATTGGAATTCATTGAAAGACTAAGATACTTCACAAGAAAATATCTATGCCCAAATTAAATGCATAAATTGCATTTAACGTTTCCTCTTTCTCCTTTTCTTTTGAAAAAAAGTATATATCACATGCAAGAGCAATACATCATTTAAAACATAACTAATTAAGATATTGCAGCACAAAGACAGATTGATTAATTAATTGTAAAAATATCATCCAGCAAAGAAAAAGTTTACAAAGCTTAAAAAAATAAGACACACTCAAATCAACTGTCATTTCATTCAAGGAATACATATTAATACAAGAGGCCCAAGGGCCTTATAGGTCACCTGAGCATTATGCAAAAACTTTCCAGTGATTGAACTTGATTCATGTTTTAAGCCAGATGCTATGGCATTCACAATTTTGAAAGAGGCACCATTGATCATCATAACTATACACTTAGCAGTTGCTTAGTTTGGTTACTTAATACCCATAGGCAGGGTAGAGGAACAAAAAATGCATTTCAACACATGAACCCTGACCCTTAGGCCTAGACCCACAAATTGCACAATTCTTGAAAAGGCATCCCTGCTTTTCAAAAATATTTGATTAATACCAAGGAGCAGATTTCAAGCAATTCATTCATTTTCAGTATATAAGTACAGCCCCCCTCCCTCTATGGTACCCCTGACCCTGGGGCCTTGAAATTCACAATTCTGGAAGATTAGGAACCTTGCTCATCATAACTATATAGGTAGTTCATCTGCTTAATACCCAGGAGCAGGGAAGAAAATTTTCAAAGATTTAATGTATTTTCACTATACAATCAATAGAGCCCCGCCCTAACACTAGAACCCGGGACCCTCTGGCCATAAAATTCACAAATTTGGAACAGGCATTCTTGCTCATCATAACTATGTACTTACTTTATATAATACCTAGGAGCAGAGAAAATTTTTTTTTAAAGAATTCATGTTTTTTCACTAGAAAATAATCAACAGAGCCCCGCCCTAACACCAGAACCCCTGACCCTGGGGCCATAAAATTCACAATTTTAGTAGAGGCTCTCTTGCTCATCATCACTATGCACCTAGTTAGTTTATTTAACCAGAAGTCTCTGTCGAGACTGAAGCTCTACTGGTTTGAACTTATAGCAAAGGAAGAGAAGAGTACTTAAGCAGCTGGGATTTGAAACTTTACAACAGCAATATATAGAATAATGATCGTTGATAAAGTCTCTTTATGTTCTTAGTGTAGTCTACTTGTGTGTCAAGTTATATTGAAATCAGACCAAAACTGTAGGAGGAGTAGCATTTTGAAACAATTTTACAGATATTTCTATTTTTAGTAACCACGGCAACACCGTTCATCAAAATTAAAATTTGATATACAGAATTATGTATCTTAGTGTATTCTACTTGTGTGCCAAGTTATATTGAAATCAGACCAAAACTGTAGGAGGAGTAGCATTTTGAAACAATTTTACAGATATTTCTATTTTTAGTAACCACGGCAACACCGTTCATCTAAATCAAAAACCGATACACAGATTTATGTATCTTAGTGTATTCTACTTGTGTGCCAAATTATACTGAAATCAGACCAAAACTGTAGGAGGAGTAGCATTTTGAAAGAATTTCACAGAAATTTCTATTTTTAGTAACCACGGCAACACCGTTCATCTAAATCAAAAACCGATACACAGAATTATGTATCTTAGTGTATTCTACTTGTGTGCCAAGTTATACTGAAATCAGACCAAAACTGTGGGAGGAGTAGCATTTTGAGAAAATTTCACAGAAATTTCTATTTTTAGTAACCACGGCAACACCGTTCATCGAAATCAAAAACCGATAAACAGAATTATGTATCTTAGTGTATTCTACTTGTGTGCCAAGTTATACTGAAATCAGACCAAACTGTGGGAGGAGTAGCATTTTGAAAGAATTTCACAGAAATTTCTATTTTTAGTAACCACGGCAACACCGTTCATCGAAATCAAAAACTGATAAACAGAATTATGTATCTTAGTGTATTCTACTTGTGTGCCAAGTTATACTGAAATCAGACTAAAACTGTAGGAGGAGTAGCATTTTGAAAGAATTTCACAGAAATTTCTATTTTTAGTAACCACGGCAACACCGTTCATCGAAATCAAAAACCGATACACAGAATTATGTATCTTAGTGTAGTCTACTTGTGTGCCAAGTTATATTGAAATTAGACCAAAACTGTAGGAGGAGTAGCATTTTGAAAAATTGTTTACAGACAGACAGACAGACAGACGGACAGACGGACGGACGCCGGACGCATTACTATCGCATAAGCTCTTCTGGTCTCTGACCAGTAGAGCTAAAAAATAGGGGCAGAGAAAAAGATTTTCAAAGAATTCATGTATTTTCACTATATATTCAAAATAGAGCCCCACCCTAACCCCATAACCCCTGACCCTGGGGCCATAAAATTCACAATTTTAGTAGAGGCACCCTTGCTTATCATAACTAAGCACTTGGTTAGTTTATTTAATACCTAGGAGCAGAGAAGAAGATCTTCAAAGAATTCATGCATTTTCACTATATAATCAATAGAGCCCCGCCCTAACATCAGAACCCCTGACCCTGGGGCCATAAAATTCACAATTTTGGTAGAGGCACTCTTGCTCATCATAACTATGTACTTAGTTGGTTTATTTCATACCCAGGAGCAGAGAAGAAGATTTTCAAATAAATAATGCATTTTCACTATATACTTATTTAGCCCCGCCCTAACACCAGAACCCCTGACCCCAGGGCCATAAATTTCACAATTTTGGTAGAGGCACCCTTGCTGATTACAATCATGCAAACAGTTTGCCTGCTTGATGTCCAGGAGTAAAGAAGAAGATTTTTTAAGATTGCATTAATTTTAGTGGTTTTGGCCCCATCCCTCAGGGGGGCAGGGATCACGAAATTCACAATTTTTGTTCCCCTTCACCCATAGATGCTTTATGCCAAATTTGCTTGAAATTGGTGCAGCGGTTTCAGAGAAGAAGCTGAAAATGTTCAAAGGTTAAGACACGATGCACGACACACAACACATGACGCACGACGACGGACGAAAACGGATAGCAATAGGTCACCTGAGTAACTCAGGTGACCTAAAAAACAGAAATCTTAGAAATAGATAGGAATCATTGTATGGCATCAAATATTCTCATTTCAAGAGGAACATAAAAATATTATGGCATCAATTTTTTAACACTTCATGAATATCACATATGAAAGACAGAACAATATACACATTTTAAGGTGCAATTTAGGGCTGTAAGCCTGTAACAGTACATCATACACAATGGTTAACATGGCTCAGAGTCACATTTTCTATAAATTGTGTTCACTTTGTAGCAGAGCAAGTATCCCAGTGGTCTAACAGTTTGAGAGGGATCACTTTGTAATGCATCCATGTACAACAATTATGCACCTAATCTAATAAATTGTCTTGTATGTCTCACTACCTATATTCTATGAGCCTATTCACCGGGCACAATTTAAAATAAAAATTAATTTTTTGGTTTGTCAAGGAATTTTTGGTAGTTGATAGTGCCCCCAACTGGAAATGTATGGCTGTGCCCCCCCCCCCCCCCCCCCCAACTGAAATTGCTTCTTACGGGCCTCTGATTTGCCGAAAATCACGAATGATTCTACAGAATATTGCTTAAGCAGCTATAGGTTAACATTTTTCAAATAATTTTTTTTTCATATAAATTTTAGGAATTTTTTGTTTCTTTCTAAAACATCGATAAAAAGCTTAAAATCAACATTTCCAAACCTGAAACACATTCACTTGTAACAGGATGCTGTTCATATACAGTAACAATAATTATCTAGCCTCCAAATGCAATTGTATTAATGGTAATCTAATTCAAAAAAGAAACACTGCAATATAAAGTACAAAATATACTATATCAATACAAAGAAATGTGATAAATATGTGTTATAAAAAATCTTCACATACAAATCCTGTCTCTTTCTAACAAGAAAAATTCAAACTGTATGCTTGTATACTGAGATCAAATTGTGAACTCGATACAATATTCTGGATATGCCTGGGTGTCATTAAAAATGACGAATTCTGTCGGGTTATTTAAGTCATTAACAGCACAATCAAAATTCACTCCACTCATTCTCTCTGGAAGGTATTTCATTCCCTTTTTCCCGGCACAGTAATGTCCTGTTATCACCCTGGCTTGGTACATTTTCTTTTTCCCCGAGGGATCCCGGCCTGATAACCAGTCTCTTGCCGAATAAGAGGCGTCGCTGGCAAAATAAACACCTCGTCCATACCATGGCTCTCCACCTGAAAGAAAAGTACATTTTTGCATCTATGGTGACTTTCAGTAACTAATATTGATTATAGAGATCATAATCAAAAGACAACCTTCTTTATTATTAATGTTAAACCAATACGAGCTGCAACTTTGATTTCAGAATTTTTCGTTGAAAAATTGTGAATAACTACATGCAATTCCATGACAAAAAAAAATAACGTGGATGAACTTCTGCTGTTCATATTTGCGATGGAAGAACTATTTATAAGATCTGATTGAATCAAAATAACATTATTGTCGTCCTGTACAATAATGAATTCGTATATAAAACTATATACTGGAATGAATACAGAGGTCTTTCTTCTGCTTTCTTTTAGTCTAATTGATCATAAAGGTTTAAGTTACATACAAATTTATTATCAACAGCAAAATAAAATTTTCAAAAATGCAGATCAAAGTGGTTTAAATAAAAAACAACAGACTGCCATGAAATAAACTCCCTACCATTATCTCCACAGTAGCTGCGGTTAAACCCGTAGTAATTAATGCTGACGATGGCTGCTGGGGCCGCTCCATGCCACAGATCCTGTACTAACTTGACTTGTTTTTGGTCCACATGCTTTTCTATGTGATCAAGCTTGGCTGCATACTGTTGGTATAATGAAGGGTTTTGGATTCTTTCAATCTGTAAATATTCACAATAAATTCTATGAAATTTCAAGTGAAATGTTTGGGTTTTTTTTGTTTTTTTTTTACAGGGACTTGAAATTAGGCAATTATTTCCAAAATGAATTGCGATGGATTTTATCATTATTTTCCAATCATGGCTAATGCAAGGAACACATGGTGGGTGTGATGGGTTGACAGGGGATGTTCACTCCTCCATGGCACCTGATCCCACCTCTGATGTTTAAGACCTCTGTATTTGCTCTGCTCCTGATTTGTATAGTTTGACTTTTTGAGCTTGATTACCGTTCATTATCTCGATATATTTCACTGTAACTCCTTATCAAACATATTCATCAAGACTCCTCAAGTCTACACTACTGTATACAGGGAAATTTTTGCCCCTGTTTTATTTTTGCCCCTTTTGCCCTACTCTTTTTTGGGGCAATTATTATTTGAAATGGGATGAATTCAGAGAATACAGTATAATTTCTTGAACAAAACTATAACTGGGCAAATTTAAAATGGGACAAAATTGTTTGCAAGAATGAAAGGGTAAATATAACACGGGGCGAAAATAACCCTGTATACAGTATATATTTCTGCCGGACAGATAAAGAATAACATGCACAGCAAATTAGCTTTTCCTTATTCCTAAGCTAAAATGTAAGGGTAAAAACAAATCATTGGTCTACATGCATGAGAACTTTATATTTTGTTTAAAGTATTGCATACCTTGTTGACTTTGACATTGTTGAACTGCCCCACTGGATTATTAGCCGGGTTTGGAGCATTGCCTGTATTATAAATGCCTGTCTTAACTCCACTCAGGAATCTCTTCTCAATGTCCTGGTATTCCTGACTGGAGGGAAGTAAGGTGACAACCTTGATATTCTCATTATCCTTCATTGGGGCCCAGTAGGCTGGTAGCTCAATCTTATTTCCTACAAGTAAAGAAAATCAAAATTGAATCCATAATTATGAAATAACCAGCCAAGTATAGCAAGGCCATGTGTCTATTGATAAAGCTTTTTTAACAATTGTTACATACTGTAACAAGCACTTTGGAGTAAAATATTTCCCACGTTTCCCAGGTTTTAGAAAAAAAAGTGGGTGGAAGATAGCTTAATATTGCAGAGGAAGAGAGAAATGAAGATTTTTTTTGGGGGGGGGGGGGAGGGGGGCTAAAAACTCAAAAGAATCTAAAATACTTGGGTTTTAATGCAAAAACTAAAGAGAAGTCAAGTGAGTTATCATCTGAAAACCTTTTTATGCAATCTACCTTTTTCTGACCTTGACTTTTGACTTTCTGACCTTGACTTTCGACTTTCATAACTTCAAAGTCAATAAGAGTCTTCTTTCAGTCATTGAAAGACAGTAAGAGGCATTACCCAGCCACTATTATCTTACAGTCATTAAAATAAGCAAAAATAGGGGACAAAAAGATGTATCTATATCTCTAACCTGTGGCTTTTTCTTTCCTGACAACATTATCAGTTTGGGTTGGATCATTAGCTGGGTACTCCTTCATTGTTGTCAAGTCAACAATAATGTCCCCGTCCATTGCCTTTAATGTAACTTTGTTTTCTTTCTTCTTGTAAGCATTCTCAAGGTACATATTCTCGCGTTCTGGATAATCTTCAAGTTTGTCTATACCAGTTGTCTGGTCCTTCACCTATGATAGAATTAGTGACTTCAAAAATACATGTACAGTCAAACTTGTCTTAGAGGCCACCCGAAATCAACGGCCACTCGCGGTCAGCGGCCACTTTCAGTTCCCCCCGACGATTTTTCCTATATATTTTAACTGGAATAAACGGCCACCTGTGTAACGCGGCCAGCGGCCACTCAAATCCTCCCCCAACAGCCTTATTGACACTGTAATAGGCGGCCATTTCGTCACTTGTTACTTCTGTTATGTCTTTTTAACACATTCGCTTGGGTAATTATATCCTCGATAGTCAGTTTAACCTATTAATGCAATTAAATAAATTGCTTTTAGATACGCTGAACTCTGTGTTTATGAAAAAAAAATTCCTGTTAGATCACTATGTAATTATTTTTCAAGATCGCCGATTGAAAAATTTAAAGAATTTACATGTAATTACAATTGATTATTTCCTCTAGCTAAAAAAATTCACACCTTTTAGATTTTGATTCCTTGTAGAAGCCCTAAGTGCCACTCTTGTGAAAACAAAAAGCTTCATATGGCATGATTATCTCGTGAATTTCACTATCAAGAGACGATCGATAGGGATTAGTTACGCTCTACTGCACTTCACACATGTGTTGTATAATGATTTTCAACTGTGTAAATACATCTTCTGGTCAACTGGTTAATTTTATATTTTATTTGTGTACATGTGTCTGTGTATGTTACATAGAAACTCTGACAGCTTTATAAGCAATAAAATTTACCAGACTTTAAAAACTTCAACAAGTAAGTTAATTGCCGATTAATGAAGTTGGGGGGGTACACTGCTGACCATTTTTTTAAACATATGAAAATGAAATTTTTATTTACATATTCTTACTTAATGTATAAAGAAAATAATAGTCAGGTACTGTATGTATTTCTACAAATGATAATTAAAAGAATTTATTTAATACTTCAATGTTACAAAAGCACACTGATGAATGCAAGATGCAAGGAACAGAAACATGCACAAAACTTTAAAAATTTCGAGTTCTTTAATATTTATTTTTAAATGACCTTGAATTATTATATGAACACATAAAAAGCTTTTGTGAAATTAACCTGTTTTATTATTTGATAAATTAATTTAACTGTAGTGCTTATTGTTGTTTATTTACTGCCGAATGTTTTTTTCGAGAGCAAACTGGAATAAGAGGCCACCTGTCTTAAGTGGCCAGTTTCCAGAATTCCCAAAGGTGGCCTCTTAAAACAAGTTTGACTGTATATTTAAACTCCAGTTAAACAATATTCAAATGTGCATGTAGCATATGATAGAAATACAAATATTTAGGATACTTGGAAAACATATTCCGGACATTTTTTTTTGGCATAGTTATATTCATATTAAAAGGAAGATAATTTGGTGGAAAGTATTTTTAAGTGCAAAGAAAATAGATTCCATGAGTCAAAGGGCAAAAAATCAAAGATTGATTTTACCATGACTTCTTCACATCCTTTAGGAAAGGCCACTCTATCAAAAGTGGGGCAAGGGAAAATAATTTGATCTCCAACACATACAAACATGGATGGACCAGAAAACATGCATAAACTTTCAAATATATTTTTCCTTTATTTCTGTTAAAAAGTATATGTAGGTCCTATGGGCATGGTGTTTGAATATTAATTGTATTAAATATTTCTCATTGTATTGTATCATAACACATGTTGCTATAATAAACGATTTATTTACTTACTTATAAACTGCCAGATCACTAGAGTGACAGCAAAGAATAAAGCTAGTCCACATAATACCTACCATGACGCTCCATTGTACAGTATCGGCCACCAGTTTGGCTTCCTCATCTAACCATCTCTCCCTCTGGAAGTGCCTCAGAAGCTCGTGTATCTTGTCCTTGGCATTAGATACCTCTTCTGTCAACCCTTCCACCATTATAACCCCCCTCTGTTGTTCAATGGACATCTTGACATCATGCTGCTCCTGAACCTTTTTAATCTTGTCCAACTACATAACAAATATTAAATAGGCTAACTTAACATAAAAGTTTACATTGTTAGAATCATGGCTTATGATCTCAAAGGTGTATAGAACTAATCTTGCTCATTGGAAGTATTTGAGCCTTGTAGAAAGCAGCCATTAAAATATATATTGATACAGCATGTACCTCATTTGGTTTTAAGTTTGGTAACAAGGTTTTGTCTTCAATCTTGGCCTGTGTTGACTGTGATTTGATGAATTTGGATATTTCCTCAATGGTATCATCTCTGGCCCCCCTTGTTTCTCCATAGATCCACAACGTCACAGACGGGTCTTCATTCACAGTAGCCACTGAGGCCACGCCTTTCTGGGGCGCCAACCCAACATTGCTTGCCAAGTCTACAAGAAGTTGTGAATATGTTAATAATATCCTTAGTGTGAAAAATACAATTAGAGGAAGGAGAGAAATGCATGATTCCAGACTCTGTATACATCAATTTTAACTACAGTAAAATTATCTAATCCAGATCTTGTGTTCCAAAATCTAATACAATGTAAATTTTCAGACCCTTTCGTTAAATTCAATTGTTTAAAACATTGTCAAATCTGTATCATTTTCTAATCTAGCCAATTTCTTTGGAATCTGTGGTGCCAAAATTACACAAGTTTCAGGATACAATAAGAAATAGCTATATATTAATATGCAATCTTGTTAACTATCTTTTTCCTTGCTCTTTGCGAGAGTTCAACACAAACCTGACAGCTTGTCCAACATCCCTGTATTCTTGGGTTTGCCACAAGCACTTCTCATTGCAGTGGACAAGGTAGTGACCATTTCCTCCTGAAAAGCTACAATCTTGACCAGTGTGATCTTCTTTTGACCACTCTGTGACAGGAACTCAGAGACACTCTCCACAAACATCTCTCCAATGGCCTCAGGTTTGAAGGTTACATAGCCTTTCCCTGTTGAATTAAAAAGAAAAAAAGTTTTCATAATACATATATACACACAACTTTTAACTGAAACATACTTTGAAAGTCAAATCCAATATTAAACTAATGTATTTCACCCCAAATTAAATTTTTAAAAAAATATCAACAGTATCTACTTATTTCTATGCTCTAATTTCACAGTTTAAAATTTAAACATAAATTAAAACATATACAGTAAGACAATTGAAGAATAATGTTGAGATGTCAAATAAGTCTGACTTTTTCAAAGTGACCAAACACCTTTGAACTTTTAAAGCAACCAATCAACAAACTCTATTCTAGCTGTTTTGTGATAACAACACACAGATTACCTGTTCCTAGAACTGGGAAGGCTACAGTTGTACACTGGTTGTTGTCCGCCATCTCCAGTGTTTTCTTCACCGTGTCCTTCC